AGAAGTGCGGCCGACGCGGAGGTCACGCATCGTGTAGAGGAGGAGCGACGCCGGCTGAGCCACAGGACGCCGAAAAGAAGGGTGCCGGTGAGGCGGCGCTGACGTACACGGTTCAGTTTGTGGACGGCACGAAGAGGCGCGTAGACGCCTTCCCGAGTGACACGGTGGCGGTGATGATTTCTCGGGTTGCCCTTCGCGCCGGCATTGTGCAATGGCGCATGTTCTACCTTGCGGAGCTTGTGGACGAGGGAACTGTGCTGGGTTCGGTGCACCGCTACCTGAGCCGCAGCGCCGCACTGGAGGATGAGGGCGTCACGCCGCAGACGGTTCTTCTCTTTGAGTTCAAGCACTATAAACGGCCGCTTCACTGGGACGACGCTGTGGCGCAGGAGTTATTTTTTCGCCAGCTGCAGCAGCACATTGTGCGTGAGTATTACCCCGTTTCGGAGGCGGTTGCGGTGCAGCTTGCGTCGTACGAACTTCAGGCGGTGTTTGGCGACTTCACGGCACAAAAGTCGCTTCTGTACTTTGACCGGGTGGGCCTTGAGGCATACCTTCCCATCTCCGTCTCGGCCCATGAGTACGACTACTGGCAGCAGCGACTGGCGACAAACCACCGACGGCGCGCCGGGCTGACTGCGACGCAGGCGCGTTGTGGCTACATCGACGTTGTGAGCACGACGCCGTGGTGGGGCATGACTTTCTTTGATGTGAGGGACCGCGACAACTGCCCATTCATTGCAGGTGTGGCGGAGGACGGGTTCTATGTCTTTAGTGCGTCGAAGCAGGAATGCCTCGACGCGATTCCGTTCCCTGACCTTGTCGGGTGGGAGCGTTGCCCCGCGGGTGTTGTGATAAGGCGCCGCGGCACTCACAAGATGACGCTGTACGCCACGAGCCAGTTGCAGGCGAAGGAGCTCGTGGACCTGCTGAGCGAGTACTACATGCTGCTCCCACAGCGGGTTCGGGATGGGATGCGCATTGACGTTGGGGATGTGGAGACAGTAAGTGCTGGGCTTGTCAGCCCGACAGTGTTTGAATTTCCAGTGGTCAGTCGCCCGCACCCCGCACCGTACGGATCGCGCGTGGAGTGTATGAAGGCGGCATACATGTCGTACTGTGCGGAAGTGGATGAGCTGGGGCAGCAGCACGTCCCGGCGGCGGCGCTTCTGCGCGCGATGGACCGAGCCGTGGACGATGGCACGGCGCTGGACGCACTGGATCTCGCGATGGCCGACCCTCCCGTCGACGACCGGCACTTTGCTGTTCTCGCCGAAATTTTAACGTTTACGCTCCGTGAGTATGAACCCCCTGAGAAGCACGAGGGGTGGAAGGAAAACATTGCCGTCACGGCGGTGCTGCTGGCACAACCCTCGGTGGAGCGACAGCTCCTGACGGCGTCTTCTGTGCCGACAATCGCGAAGGTGATCGCGCTTTTCCCCGCGCTGCAGACACTTGACCTCTCCTACATTCCGCTGGATACGGCGTCGGAGCAGCTTGGCGGTGCGCTGGCCAGAGGTGCAAAGCAGCTGCGGCGCCTGGTTTTGAGGGGCTGTCGCATTGGCGCGCGGGCGCTGCATTCCATTTTGGTCATTTTTGGTTCCCAGAAGCCGAATGCTTTGGAGCACCTAGACCTTGAGGACAACTTCTTGACGCACGCCGCTATACATCCCCTTTGTGAGGTGCTCATGGATGGTCGCGCAGCACTGAAAGAGCTTGACCTGGCGTTCAACCGCCTTGAGCCATCAGGCATCGATGCGATTGCTAAAGCTCTCCGTGCATCCCCGCAGCTGCAGTCGCTGGATTTATCCGGTAATCCTGGCGTTGAGCCGCCTTCAATGCGGGCGCCTTTGCTGGTCACGAAGGGCAGTGGCATTGCGCGACTCTCTCTCCGTTCCTGCAAACTGCACTTCGCACTCTTTGGCGCGATGAACGCGGAGCTGATGTCTAACGGCGACATTGTGGAGCTTAATCTGTCGGCGAACCCCATTGGAGACGGTGTCGACACACGCGCAGCGATGACGGCATTTGTTTTTTTGGGTGATCCGCGTTCAGCGTGCCGTCTGGAGGTGCTTTGCATGGAGGATTGCGGTTTGATGGAGGGAAGTTTAGGTGATGCGCTTGGAGGCGCCATGGCGTCGAATCGCACAGTGCAACAGCTTTTTCTGCGCAGCAATGGCCTGGCACGGAAAACAGGGTTTCTTCCACCACTCTTGACGGAGGCTGTGGGCACCCATTCTGTCTTGTGCGTCCTCGACTTGTCGGACAATGGCATTTCACATGCAGGCTGTATGCGGCTCTTTGCGGCTCTTGTGCGAAGCAATAGCATGTGCAAGCTTTACCTTGACGGAAACCACCTGGGTGCTGCTGAGGAGCCGGCAAGCTACGCCGAGCTTGTTGTCTTTCTTGAGAACAGTGTCTCACTGAGTGTGCTCAGCCTGTGCAACACCGAGATGCACGATGCTGCGCTGGAAAAAGTTGGCGAGGGCCTCTCGCGCAATACTGCGCTTCATACTTTTGTGGCGAGTGGCAACGCGTTTACAGCGTCGGGTATAGCGGCTTTTGCACGTCTCATACAACAAAATGTGACGCTCAAAAACTTGGACCTTTCGACGGAAGCACTTTATCATGATGAGGCTGTGTACGCAGACACGCACCGTCTTTTATCGGGTGTGGGACGGCTGGATTCTGTGCAGCTTTAGCGGTATTTAGAGAAAACATTTTTTGCCCTCTTGAATTATCGTTACACCACTAGTGGGCATCTTCAACTGTGAGTGTGCGTGCGTTTTTTGGGCTTTTTGTCGGTCACACTTTGCATCAAGCGCTTCTGCCGCGGTTGCCGCTTTTACCAAACCTCTGATGCTGTTTCCTATCCTTTCTTCTTTTTTTTTTTTTTTGCAAGTGTCTTGCTTGTGTCCCATGCACAAATTGGTGGGAAAAGCGGATGCTCCTCGACGAAAAAAAGAGGTGAATGATGTCTGGAGGGAGCGCGGTTGCCAAGCAGTGGGGCGTCAAGTGCGTTTTACTTGCTGCGTTCGCCGCCAACGCCACTGTCAAGCATCTATGGCATGGCCGCAGAATGGATCTACAGCGTCACCAAGGAGCCGCGGCGGCGGCTCGATGACCCCGCGACCCACCGGGACATCAAGGCGTTGCTGGAGAAACAGCCGTCTGTTTCGTTGGCTGTTGCCCGCGTGCTGCACGAGCCGGCACCGCTGCGGCGCACGGCCGTGAATGTGGATGGCCGGGTGGAGGAGCAGGTGGTGCCTCACCCGGAAGCTCCCACCCTGCTGCTGCCGTCGGGGTGGCGCAGTTGTGCATGAGAGCTTTCCTTCAAATTATTATACACGTGGTTCTTCTTTTGTCGTGTTGTTGGCTCTTGTGCCACTGTGCAGCGGTGAATATTTGTCCTTTTGTTTTCGCTTGGTGAGTGCAGAGCTGGTGCCTGTGGGGCGGTTGGCGCCATGACCGTGACGGAGCGAAGGTGTGTGCTGCCGGCGATGGGGTAGTTACGCGTGACTGCGGCGACGAGGGTTCATGAGCGGATGGTCGTCACGCTCGAACCGCAGGCGGAGGAGGAGGGCGCCGAACAGCCTTGAGCCGACGTGTTTGGTGCGGAGCTGTTGCCGGGTGTTGTGGCGCCCACCCCTGTTCTCGTGGCGTGCTACGACACAGGGTGCAACGCGACAAACGCCCGCTCTGTCGCTGACATTAACACCCACCTGGAGGTTTTGCGTGTCAGGGCGCGACGGGGTGGTGAGGACGCGGTGGGGCCCCGTGTCCTGTTTGTTGCTGACCGTCGTGCTGCTGGAACTGGTACATATGTCCGGACGTCAAAGAACGGCGCTGTTTTTCTTGGCCACCATCCGCTTTCTCTTGATGCCGCGGTGGAGGCGCCCCGCTTTGGTTGCCCGGCGTTTTTTCCTTGTATGCGGTGCAGCACACCCTGGACGTTGGGAAGGAGATGCGCTTTGCTCCCGTCATGCACGGCTTTCAGGGTATTGGGAAGCATGAGCATCCATTGTTCTTGATGCGTGTGCCGCGTCAGCTGATGCGAATATCCGGCGAGCGCATGGTCTGCAGCGATCGATACCGCGTGGGTGGTATGTTTGTGGACTATGGGATGATTTCTCGGTCCCTTGTGGAGGTGGCGGGGGCGTGGGAGTGCTTGTAGGAGGAGAGACTGGAGGAGCACCGAAAGAAAAACCCGCTGGACGTCTTGGCTGACACTGCTTCCGGGGCCGATGTTGGCGATGCGCTTGTGGTGGGGAGTGCCTGGCTTTGTTTCAAGGTAGCACAGCGGGTGCATGCACGTGCTGGAGGGTCTCGGCTGAAGCTGGTTGTGATGCCCTCCGCCGTTGTGTGCGGCAACGACCTGAGTGTCCACCTCTTTCTTGTGGACGCAACAGAGTGAGGGATGTCCAACGATGATTTATTTGTTAGTCGCCAGTGTTGGCTTCGGTACTTCTTTGGCACCCGCACCACTGCCGCGAAGTCTACACTGCTCACCGTCAGTGCCTCCCTTATTTTTCTTGTGGTGGTTGGACGGGGTGTGGCAGGCGCGATTTCGACCTTCGTGCCCATTGCGGATGAGGACCCACAGCAGGCCCAGGGTGTTGTGGTTCAGCCTATTTTGCTGACGCACGTGCAGCCACAGGACGTCGACCTTCAGAAGCGTATTTTGGCGCTGAGCTCGGCAACGGAGCTGGAGGAGCTGCCTGATGGGACGCTGCGCCGCGTTCCGTTTGCCGTTTTTGAGGCGCGTCTGCGTCAGGGTCTGATTGTGGGCTTTGCCTTGGTAGAATCTGTGTCATCAAGCAGGATCACCCTTCCGGTGAACGCCGCAGCCGTTCGGAAATACACAGGCTTGTGCTTCATTCTCACCGAGGAGCGGCTTGCAACGCAGGTGGCGCCAGCTACGGGATGAGGCCTTTGCGTGGCACACATAGAAATCATGAGAGGTAGAAATATCATGCGCCGAGTGCCTTGCTTACCGGCATTTATCCCTGTGGGGGAAATGATATCGTCTGGTTTCTTTTTTAAATGAGTTTATATTCCTTACGTCGTTTTCTTTTTTCCTCTGTCTCCTGCAGGAAGCTACAAGCAACACAGCAAGACAGTTTCAAGGCAGCGAGAATGGCGATGAGGTGGGTGGCGGCCCCATACCTTTTCTTTGCCCTGATACTGCTACTGGCCTTGTCTTACCCACAAGGCGCAGCCAGCCAGGCAGCGGTTACCGACACTCACGTGAAGTTGTGGCTTATGAGGAAAATGAACCAGTCCAGTTTGAAAGACACGCCTCTCGCATTTTACAGCGGCATGAATGCCTCGCTGTGGGCGCGCAATTGCACTGTTGCGGAGGGTGTTCGTGTGGAGGTTGTTGAAAAGGAGGAGGTGCAAGAGGACAATATCGCCGCCTTGGAAGAAGAAATAAGGAAGGAAGAGAATGTTTTGGCACTGGTCGGCATGCAAAGCCAGGGATTTCTCCAGCTTGTGCTTCCGCTGTTGAAGAAATATGACCTTGTCTCGTTTGCCCCGTTCACTGGGTCGAGTTTTTTGAGTGGGTGGAACCCTAACCTGTATTTAGTGCGTGCTGAACCTGCGGCCGAGCTGCTGGCACTCCTCCGCTACGCCTTGGCCAACTTGCATGTGCTTCGGCTGGGCTTCATGTACCTGCAGGGCGTTTACTTTGGTGACAGGGAGTATGCGCAGGCACAACGCGCGATGTCGGAGAGGAACCATACGTTCAGCGGTGTGTTCAGTGTGGAGAGCTCTGTGACTGGTGGTGCGAGGAAGGAAGTGTTTGACGCTGCGTGGGAGGCGTTTGCTGAGACTCGGCCGCAGGCCGTGATTGTGTTTGCACCGCCGATAAATGACACCGCGAAATTTGTTGGGAGGATGCTGACGGACAGGCGCACTGCTGGCGCGTACCTGCTTGCTCCCTTGTTGCTGCAGGACCTTTTTTTGAGTTTGTGGCGTGCTGCTGTGGCTGGCGGTGTTGAGTTTGTGCCTGGGCAGGTGATCACGACGGGGACGAACCCGCTGGCGAAGGACACACAGTACGAGGCCATCCAGCGCTTCCAGAAGGTGATGCAGGACTACCTGATGCACAGTGGGCAAAAAGACTATGCCGACAATGACCATTTTCTGAAGGATGACGGCGACGGTGAGATGATGGTTGCTGGGTGGATTGCTGGCGAGGTGCTCTCACAGGCGCTGAGCAGTCGTGAGTGGGTGAAGGACCGCAAGTCGTTCTTGGCGTCTCTGTACAACCAACGCCGGTATGTGGTTGACGACATTGTGATTGGCGACT